TATGTCAAGTGTGTATATGGTGTGTGTATATGCTATTGTATATGGGTATGTGTATATGCTACTGTGTATGGGTATGTGTATGGTATGTGTGTGTGTGTGTTGTGTGTATGTATGGTGTGTGTGCTATCGTATATGGGGGTATGTGGGTATTTATGTTTTTGGCAATCTCTTTTATGATGCCTTACTCTTAGTGGTCCTCCATGGTTACCGACATTGGAGTCTTCTGGGACAGACTCCTCTTAGTCTCTGGATGCTGCTGGCCTATAGATCCAGGGTAGAGCTGAGATGGCCCCAGCAACTATCAGCTTAAACTGCTGCTGCAGAAGCAGGTTGAAAAAGGTTCTAGTTACCTTGGATTTTTTTTTTTTTTAATCAGAGCTAAGGACTGAACCTAGGGCCTTGTGCTTGCTAGGCAAGCACTCTACCACTGAGCTGAACCTTCCTTTTTCCAGGGTGAAGTAAATACGCAGGGTGGATGGTGTCTGAGCAGTGACCTGTCCATGGCCTTCCATCTTCTCTGCTGGGCTGATTGAGGAGAGGCAGGGAGTCCTGGAGACTCCAGTAGAGTCAGGTCTGGAATCTACGAGGCTTAGCCTTGTGTTCTGTGGGTGCTAGTGGGATTCAGTGAGAGGGGCAGAAGGTCCTCTGGGAGTCAGTTCCCCCTGCCCACATGGTCCCAGAGACCATGCATTTGTTATGCAGACAACACCCCATTTTAGATTTGACTAAGATAAGGTAGCTGAATTCTTTTTAAAAACCTATATGTCTATTTTTATTTTATATGTATGGTGTTTTGCTTGTATGTCTGTGTATCATATGTATACCTGGTGCCCATGGAGACCAGAAGGGATGTGAGATTTTGTTACTGGAGTTACAGAGGGTTTGAGCTGTCACTCGGGTGCTGGGAATCGAAGTCTAGGTCTCTGGAAGAGCAGCCAAATTTCTGAGCCTTCTCTTCAGCTCCCCACAAAACTAAATTATTTAAAAAGCCATCTTGGCAAATGCGAACAGAGGCAGCCCATGAATGAACAGGAATTCTGAGTGAGCCTAACGTGAGCCCCCCAAGGAATGCCTTTAAAAAGGTGTTTATCTCCATAGCAACTGAGGACCCGGGTTCCCTTCACTAAGGGCACTTTCCCACGGTGAAGTATTTTTATCACATCCATTTATTAATTTGTTTACTTTGTATGTGCTTGTGGGAGCGTGCCACCCTGCACGTGTGGAGGTCAGAGGACAGCCTGCAGGAGTTGGTTTCCTCCTTCCACCATGTGGGTCCCAGGGATGGGACTCAGGCTGTCAGGTTTGGTAGCAAAGGCTTATTCCTGTTGAGGCTCCTCACTGGTCCCCACCCACAGCAATGGCTTTTAAGCAGGGAGAAGTGTATGGAGAGAGCTGCTTGGAATTGGGAGCAGGATACGAACCACAGCGGGCTCTCATCTTACTTAGATGTTCCTGATAGTTATACACACCAAGGACTGGCATCTGCCAGGCAAGTTGCCTGTCAGGGAGTTCTTCCTTAAGTGTTTCAATTCGTTATAGTTTTTTCCTTCCACACGAATGCCAATCCAGAAGCACATAGGAGCGAGCACATGAGAGTCTTCCAACCACTGGAATCCATTTTTATACTCTTTTGGGTATCTATGTAAACAGTGATGTCATTTACAAGCAAGGCTAAATTTATAACTTTTCCATATTTATAACAACATTCATTTTTCAGTTTTATCCCACCAGCCAGAACCTACCCATGAATCGCCTGTGTTGTCTGCTGTTCATTTTCAGAAGACAGAATAGCTTTTTAATCTTGATTTTACTGTAGTTTTCCTTCTTATAGCCGGCCACATTTTTGATCATATGGAAGGATGGCTGGGCTGTTACAGGCCTTGGGTTAGACCTTTTTTTCACTGTAAATGTCTTTCCTGTGTTTAATGCTTTTAAAGTTGATTTATTTTTGTGCGCATGGGTGTGGCGTGTGTGGACGGCCATGGAGGTCAGATGAGCACATGCTATCCCGAGGGTCAGTTACAGATGGTTGTGAGCAGCTTTACAGAGATACTGGGACTGAACCCAGGTCCTCTGCAAGCCCAGCAAGTGCTCCTTTGCCAACCTTGCCAGCTTTCCGGCTTCTCACATATCTGATTGAATTTGCTTGGTCAGAGACTAACACTGCCTTATCAGGACGACTTCTTGGTCTGCCTTTGTGTTTGACGTTATGATGAAACAAGTAACTAACTTACTAACAGGCATTAGCCAGTCTCTCCTCTGCCCCCCCCCCCCCATCCCAGCTTCTCTTCTGGGTACCTGCAGGGTTGTATTTCAGTGCCTTTGAAGTTAGGGATAGCCACATGTCTGGCTTCAGCCACTAAAGTCTAAATGCATTTTGCTTCTGAGTCAAAACCTGCAGGGGACCATGACAGTTAAAGAAGGCAAGATGCCGGGCTGTCATCCCTGAGGTCCACGAATGTGAGTTGAGCTGTCACACCCAGCAGCTCACAGGTGGCTACTGAGCCCGTGAGATGTAGCTAGCCCAAATTGAGATATGAGTCAAGTATAAGATACACATACTAGTTCTTGAACTGGTAAGATAGAAAAGAAATGATCTTAGTAATATTAGCCTATTGATCCTGTGTTTGAATACCTTGGGTATATTGGGTTAAGTAAAATATTATTAAAATTAATTTCTTTTTTTTTTTTTTTGGTTTGGTTTGTCGAGACAGGGTTTCTCTGTGTAGCCCTGGCTGTCCTGGAACTCACTCTGTAGACCAGGCTAGCCTCGAACTCTCGAGCTCAGAAATCCGCCTGCCTCTGCCTCCCAAGTGCTGGGATTAAAGGCGTGTGCCACCACCGCCCAACTTAAAATTAATTTCATTTGATTAAAAATATTTTTTTTGAAATGTGACTAGAATGATTTAAATTACATTTGTGGCTCACTGTGTCTCCATAGAAGGCGCAGCTAGCCTATGACAAGTAATGGATGAGGGAAAAATAAAATTTTTTAAAAGATTTATTTATTTATTTTATGTACGTGAGTAAACTGTCACTGTCTTCAGATGCACCAGAAGAGGGCATCGGATTCTGTTACAGGCGATTTCGTGCCATTATGTGGTTGCTGGGAATTGAACTCAGGACCTCTGGAAGAACAGTCAGTGCTCTCAACCACTGAGCCATCTCTCCAGCCCAGGAAAAATAAGCTTTTTAATAACTCTTCAAACTCCTCTTAGAAATTAACTTTAACTTTAAAAAAGATATATGTGTTTTGAGTTACTCTGTGTGCATGTATGTTTGTGAAC